TAGTTCCTGTGAAGTCAATGAGGTGAGGGCCATCTTTATAGTTGCTGTTTGTGGTTTTTAAAAATAGGATATTCATAAAAAAAGATATATATAAGGAATAAATTATTGATTATACAAAGTTCAATCATTTGATCTCCAGCCTCCTATTACCAAATCCATATTTTTCAATAAATAAGTATAAATATAAATCAATATAATATATTAAAATAGTTAATAAAAATAATAGTCCTTTTTTGTTTTCAACTTGTACACTGTTATCACCAACTATTATTTATGAATCTTGATTGCGGATTCAATCAATTTCACACTGCTAAAGTTGGTAGAAATCCTCAATTTCCTCACCTTTGGCTCTAAATTTTGGTGCGTATTTTTGATTAATAGTTGTATTGACAGGTCTCTTGTGTGAGTGGGTGTGTGTGTGTGTGTGTATGTAGAAGGAATTAACATACTGAATATTCTTCCAAGCGCTGCTCATAGTACCATGAGAATTAACAAGTTTATTACTATTTTAGGTTGGCCAAAGTAGTTTCTGCTATTACAGGAGAGAACTTTAGTCTTGGGCCAGATTTAAGTCACTAACATCAGGATAATTCTTTTTCTAAATGCCAGTAAAAGAAAATTTTAAATTCTTAATAAAAAAGTAACATGAAAAAGTAAAAACATTTAAGTGCAGGGTCCTTTTTACAGAAATGTTTCAGCATATAACCAGTTAATGTTGTGGACTTAACATTTTAACCTGAAAGTCGAATACACATTTCTCACACATGACCTATGGAATATTACTGCAACTTTACATGTTAGCTTCTCTACACCCAGATGTCAAATAATGGAATGATTTCAAGTTAAAAAAAATGTGAATCTGAAAGTACATTAGAAGAAACATTTTTATAAAAATATTTTTAGGAAAATAAGATAAATTAGCACAGGAGAGGAAGGCCCTCTATGAGATGGACTGATTCAGTGACTGGGATAATTGGGATGGGAGTGTGAGAGACAGTGTGATTAGCACAGGACAGAGCAGAGTTTAGGGCTGTTGTACATATGGTCGCTATGAGTAGCAAGCGACTCGACGGCACATAACAACAACAACAACAAGATGAATCAGCTTTCAATCTTATGAGCCTCAGTGTAAAAATGATCTTATATAAAAGGTGAAAAAAATGCCTCTTGAAATTTAAAAAGTATTTTTCCCTAATGGTATTCTTATTCCAAAAACTCTGTATTCATTACGAACAGACATAAAAGTATAGCCTTACCATATATTAAGACAAATAAAAGGAAAATGAATAAAAACAACTTTTTTTTTCTCATTCAGTCTATAACACTATTAATGAAGTTCACATTTCCAAAAAAGATTTATGTTCGTGATCAATGCTTCTTGAAAGTTTTAATAAATATTTTAAAGGGCATTCATTTTTCTATGCTACGTAACAGAACTAATGACTAACGGAAGCAGATCTAGAAAAAGGATAATTTCAAGTACAGAACTTGATTTAATTACAGTGTAACAAGAATATTCAGTTTTTTTCTGAAAAGGAAAAATAATCTAATAAAATCAATAGAAGACGTCAACAAGAAGAAAAAAATATGATGGTTACCTTTTTTTATATTTGTAAATTTTCTCCCCTCTTGAAGAGGCAATGCTTTACTCTGGTCAGGGATTGTTTATTATTTATCATAAATTCTACCATGAACTAAAATTAACTGAGATTTTAGGAGAATTATTAATACTGAAGTCAGAAAGAAAGCAAAATTACAATGGTACATTTAATGGACTGAAGAGAGGAAGGGAATTATGACAAAATAGGGGATCAAAAGCATTAGCGCAACTTTTTTTTCCTTCCTAGATTTTAGTTCAAATGAGCATGTCACCCTGGTCAAACAGTTTGCATATTAATTCATAAAACATAATAAAAAAGAAAAAAATTAACCACATGTATTAGGATTATTGAATGAAGTGATAAGATGACTGGAAAAAAATGAGCTCTCTCTCCATCCATCCATCCATCCATCCATCCATCCATCCATCCATCCATCCATGTATCTATCTACTTTTACTATTTTTGAAAGGTCCACTGATGATTTATTATAATGAGAAGGAATACCAATTTTAAAGACAGTTGCAAGGATGTGGGTCCAAATGGAATTCATATCACTAAATTTTTTTTTTGTGGAAATCCTCATGTAGTCCCAGGTCTATCACTTGCAGTCACACCTTGGTTTTTCAGATGTTCCATTTAATCTACCCTGAGCCCTCAAATTAGTTGGATGAGATCCACCAACACATTGTAGTTCCAGAAAATGGAGCTGTCGATGAAATATAATGTAATGTAGTTGAAACACCACTTTAATGAGTTGTGTTGGTGCCAAGAATTCAGCACATATGAACAAGAGTGGACTTTTCCGAAACAAGGAGAACAGAAAAATCTCAAGAGGGATTCAGTGAAGTTCCATAGCTTTAGGGAGGTGTATTTGAGCTAGGCTAGCAAGTGCTCTTACCTCTTTAAATACATACATACATTTTTATATATATATATATATATATATATTTAAATGCAAAGAACTGTACAGTATAATTAGAGTAGGCAAAGTCCAAGTTTTAAATTTAGATTCTGTAACCTCATTAAAAGAGTTTAAAAGCTATAGGCCTCATTTTCTTTATTTGAAAATTCAGACTAGAAAGTCTCATAGATAACTGAAATGAGGATGTACTACTATTAAGCAGGACAGTTTCTTTACATTTTTGTTTTAATAATAATCTTATATAAAAAGCTACTTTTGCCTTTGCAACTAATATAATTCCTAGTAGCAAATTAGGCATTTAGGAAGATAGTTTATTCCCATAAAGCGTTGCCTGTAGAAAAAAACAAAGAGTACAGGAGAAACAATGGAATGTTATTCATCAAATTTACTTTCCCTGCCCCTTTCCTGAGGAATATATATGAATTAGATTACCAATATATTTTATGGAGGCATAATATTCCATAAAATTAATTCTCTTTTCTTTTTTACAAAATGAAATCTTCCTGAGGGTAAGTCTTTAACCAAGTACTTTATACAAAGGAATGACAGAGTTTTAATCAAAGTTAGATATTACATTGTGTTATATATCATACATGGTAAGCACTTAAAGAGCATATAAAAGCAAAAAGCTTTTTAGAAAAAGCTTACCTATAAAAAGGAATTATTCCATTTAATTTAAAAAAAATTTTCACTTTAGACCAGTGAAATATTATTAAGATAGGTAGTTTTCAGAAATAAAATATATATATTTCCTTTCTCTAATTAAGATTTGTATTATATAGCTCACTGTTTTATTAACTTCAGTGACATTCTTCTCCATATTTAAAAAGAAAGGAAACATCTTGAAATAGATGGTGTATAAAAATCTTCTTTTGGAACACATGCCATTTTGTAAAAACTCTTGAAAGTATAAGAAAATTTGGCAAGCAAATATATTCCAGGTATTTTATGCATTTCTTTCTTATAAATGTTATACAGGTTTCAAGAGATGTAATGCCTTAAGTCAAACTATGAATTTTACATAGATACTTACAATATCTAGAAATGACCACGCTGCAATTTTCATATAAAAAATTCAAAGGCAAGCCAAGGGGATAAAGCATGCTGTGACATTTCACAGCTCTTCTTCAAGATAGAATTCTATACTCACCAAAGAATCCCTTATGCCTTTTATATTCCTGTATTGCTTAGGTTACAATTCATTTTCCTTAGCAGGGAGTTTCAATGTATTTACAAAATGGATATGGAGTACGGTAAACTGCAGATTTCTAAGTACCTGAGCCAAACATACCAATTCAGTTGTTTTAGGGTAGGATTCAGAAGTGTAGGCATTTTATAAGTGCTCTAGGTGATTCTAAAGCAAATTATTCCAGGGACCATTCCTTGACAAACACCATAACTGATCAACTTAGAATAGCTAAGAGATCCTTTCTGAATATAAAATAGTAAATAAACATCAATTTCTTATTTAACATATTATAGAGATCATTAGACCATTCCCAAGGGACAATACTTGAGCAAAAGGTGTCATGTGTTTGTTTATTTTTTTCCCAATTAAAAAAAAATATTGGCTGGGTGCTGGACTATCTATGACGTCCTACAAAACTATATTTGAAAACATCAAGTTGGCAGCCTAAGCCATTCTGGCCCATGCATGAACAGCTGCCATGTATGCACATCTGTTATTTTTTTTCTTTTCAGATTATCACCACATGCTGTATTATATGGCTTTCCACATTAGCAAGTAACATGAAACACATTATCACAGAGGCCATAACACAACTAAAGAAAAAGATGAAGCATTCATATATTACTGGCACAGAAACCTGAAGGGAATAAGGTATGGTCCTCTTAGATAGAAGCCAACCCCAGTTAGAGATAAAGATAAATCATTGACTCAACAGAGGTCTCATCAGACCCAATTACTCAACTTTCCAATTAAGATAGTAATCATGAAACTTAAGAAATCAAAGTCATATAGATGGTTATACTTCATCAATCAACTGGGTGTCAATGCTGACTATATAAGATTCCTTTAGAAGAAATTTAATTGCCTTAAACTAAAGCAATGGATAGACATCCCAACACTGAGACTTTGCATTTCTAGTTTTCGATTTCAAATTCATTCCATTTACCAAAATGGAAAAAGCTGACTTGGTAAGGATTTCCTTCCAGAAATGATCCAAATATATTTATTTTCTCCAAAATATATTTATTTTCTCCATACAGATCTAGCTCACTGAATGATCAGATTCTAAATTTGTGTAATACTGGACCAAGATAAGGAAAAAACCACCCCAAATCTCATACAAGAAAAGTAATAACTGATAAATAATTAAAAATTGAGTTCTCTTTTTTCCTAAGTTCTTTTTATCTATGAGTTTGTCTCTTCCATTAAAATTTATTCCCTTCAGATTTTTCTAATGTGGATTTGTAGCCCTCAGCATTTTACTCTGCAAAAGAACCCCTAAACGCACCTCCTGTGTGTTCTGGTTCCCAGGTGCCTTCACCAGTTAGGGGCTGCTGCAATGAGCAAACTCTGTTTTCTGCTGGGCTCAAAGTTGATTCTAATCTGTGGAATTTGTGGATTCTGTCTCTGACAAGAACAGCATTGTCCCTCTCATGTTCTGCACCCTCTCTGGCATTAGACGGACCAAGGTCCTTCTTTTGGACTACATTTGCAATCTCGGCTACAAGGTCTGATTCTGATTCTGCCTTTTCTGTGGGATTATATTTATGTACATGAACAACATCTTCCCTTTCTCCTAGCAGCTTGGAAAGAAGTGAATAGAAATCACCTGCGGAAAAAAGAAAAAAAAGAGTAGGGGTTGGCAAAATAGTGAGATCTATACAATGTTGTGTCTTACAAATAATATCACAATCAGTGAATGAAAAGGGTATTTCCAAACTTTCAGTCATGGTGGTGTTGAGGGGGAATGATAAAAGATGATATTCTAGAATAATGGAGTAAAAGGTCATTACATTTCATATACAATTTACTTTCTGTTATTTCAAAAGTGAAGAACATTATATAAGCTCTCTTAAATCACATCAATAAAAACATGCACAAGTAATTAGACAATAAGTTTCAATAAATGGTTTCTAGTATAGTTGGATTGATTTGGACATCAGAGTATTATTTTAAAAATATTAAAACAGCTACTTTAGCGAATAGCTATCTTCACAGTGACACCCTTGCAAATTGTCTTGGAAAAGCTTTTAATGTGTACATTGCAAGAAATTAAATATATATTTCTGGAGAGGTGCCATAAAACACAATAAGTCTAATAAAAATGTACTCATATGGCAATGGGGAAACCAAAATTAATAATATTAATATTAATATTAAACATTTAGCAGTGCTACTGAAAAGACCTTAATTATTTTTAACTAAGAGATGAATACATTTCAGAAAAAAATATTTCAGGAGGAACAGATCATTTTAAATCAGTTTCAAACAAAAGAGAAGATTTCAACCAATTATTATCACTGGAAAGATTAATCACTAAAATGTATTTCATGGTTTCTTGCACAAAGGAGTAAGTTTAGATATGATACTCTAATTCTTCAAAGACAAATTACTTATAACAGATGAAAATATAACTACAGAAAGTTCATTAAGAATTTGTATCTTGTCACTTACATCTATCAATTCAAATTCATTAAAAATATATTTACTATGTAGGTAAGACAGTAAAACTATCACACACACACACACACACACACACACACAAACACACAACCCCTCTGCTTTTCTAAGCCAAATCAAAAGGCAATCTACAGCTCCCTCTTTTTCACATCACATTTTGATTGCTGCTAATGATCAAATTACTCACGGCTTAAGCTTACAGCACCAACATAGTATTTATATAATCTTTCTTTCTTAATGAATATTGCTACTGTTCAGTTCAAGTCAGAATTGGCTCTTAGCTAATCTTTCAATAGGTTTTCAGAGGATGTAAATTGCATGAGAGGAGATGTCCATTCTGTGAAACAGCTGGTGGATTTGATTCACTTGTCTTTGGGCTGGCAGTGAAACACCTTATCCATTAGGCCCTCAGAGCATTAGGACAAAAAAATGGTAACTGGTGCAGTCAACATACATTGCACTACAGAATATACGATTTAAACAATACTATAATGGGATACAAAGTCATTTCAAACTATGCTAAGGAGTTTAGCTGACACACATTTCACTACAAAATATACTGTTTAAACAATACTACAATCGGATATGCATAGTTCAAAATTGGGAAGGGCGTACGCCAGGGATGTGTCCTGTCTCCATACCTTTTCAACCTGTATGCAGAACAGATTATCCGGGAGGTTGGGCTTTATGAGGAGGAATGTGGGGTCAAGGTTGGTGGAAGGTCTATCAACAATCTGTGATATGCAGATGACACAACCCTGCATGCGGAAAGTGAGGAGGACCTGAAGCATTTGCTGCAGAGGGTCAAGGACTGCAGCCTCCAATACGAATTGAGGCTCAATGTCAAGAAGACAAAGATTCTCACCACTGGACCAATTGGCAGCATCAGGATGGATGGTAAAGAGATTGAGATTGCCCACAGCTTTAGTTTGCTTGGCTCCAAAGTCAACACTCTCAGCACCAGTTGCCAGGAAATTAAAAGACGTATTGCGATGGGAAAGTCTGCTGTTAGGGACCTCTCCAAAGTACTGAAGAGCAATGGTGTCTCTCTGGAGACTAAGGTGCATCTGATACAGACCATGGTCTTTGCGATCACTTGTTATGCATCAGAGAGTTGGACAATGACTAAGGAGGACAGAAGGAGAATTGATGCCTTTGAACTGTGGTGCTGGAGAAGAGTATTGAAGGTACCATGGACTGGTAGGAAAACAAACAGATTAATCCTGAAAAGGGTCAAACCGGGCTGCTCTTTGGAGGCAAGGATTCTGAGGCTCTGTCTAACATACTTTGGACATGTTGTAAGGAGGGACAGGTCCTTGGAGAGGGACATCATGCTTGGTAGGGTGGAGGGACAGCGCAGGAGGGGAAGGACCTCTATGAGGTGGATTGATTCAGTGACTGGGGTAATCGGGATGGGTGTATCAGAGATGGTGCGACTGGCACAGGACAGACGAGAGTTTAGGGCTGTTGTACATAGGGTCGCTATGTGACTAAATGGCACATAACAACAACAACAACAACAATGGGATACAAAGTCTTTCCAAATGATACTAAGAGATCTTGTCATGTGTATAAATAGTCTTGGTTTCATGATTCAAAGGTTTTCAATCCCGCTTGTAGAAACAGCTCATCCCAGGTGAAAACTTCAATCAGAAAATAATTACCAAATAATAGAGCCAATCTCAGTAAAATGAGCAAAGCAAATTATAGCTCAACCAAATTTGTTAGGCCACCGTGGCATTTTGCCTCACAATAGAGTTATTAATTCATTAGTGCTAAAGTCTCCTGACCGAACATGGACCAAAGAAACTCAGTTAAACAACACATTTCATAAAGAAGATAAAATTAAAAATTTTATTTCAGGGCAGACAAAATACAATTCTTAAACTTGAGTCAGTTTCTTTGGCAAATATTAGAGCAGAATGATTCAAAATAATTTAGGTTTACTGTGGAAAAACATAAAAAATTGTGATATAAGATCAAATCTAGGAACTTTGGTTTGTCTTTTTTTTTAAAATCATCATTGGGTTAGGAAAGCAAATAACTTTTGTAACGAGGACATTTCAACAGAAATCTCATTGCATGCTAAAGATATCAGTGGATGGCTGTCTCAGACATTCTAGTGGACAAATCAGCATGTTTTATTGTATCTTTTCTCCTTGGCATTATGTGTCATAGAGTCACCTGCAACTCAGAACAGTCCTATGTACAACAGCTCTATACCCTACTCTATGGTGTGCCAATGTTACTGTCTCTGACACACCCACTATGTCCATTACCCCAGTCACTGAATCAGTCCATTTCATCGAGGGTCTTCCTCTCTTGCGCTATCCCTCAACCCTCCCAAGCATGACATCCCTCTCCATCAGTAGCATTGAGAAACGCATAGAGCTGCTCCCACCAGCTCAGACTCCTACTCATAACAAGTGGCAGAAATCTGGTTCTTTTTGTTTCCTGTCTTTGCTCTCACAGCTGCAGATACTGTGGCAACAGGCCAACTTAGAACTTTTATCCAAAGAAAAGAAGCAAATTTGGGGTAGGGAGGCAGACAGGGAGGCAAATCTGCAACAATGAATGAATGGAATTCCAAGTTCTTGATAGACTTTCGTGAAACTTTTAAAAATCACATAAAAATTTTTTTAAGATTATTACAATAAAAAGATAACTGTCTACAGCTTTAGACAGTGTAAAACTTTAATTGTGATAGTTTCAGCTTTTTGATGCTCAAGGAAGAATCTCTTGGCAACACTACAGAATATAAATTCTCATTTCCTGCACAAATCACTAGTACTTCATTACCTTCTTAAACCAAACAGCTCTCGTTATTGCTATGCCATTTCTATGGTACGTGGAGAGTAAACAGGATGTTCATTAACAGTTTAACTACTGACAAAATATGCCCAGTATCTAAGCTAATGAGATTAGAAGGTGGCAATGCAATTGGCTGACGTGAGTGTTATAAGGAATGGTCAAATAAATGCATCTTTTTATATATTACTTGTTCTGTTTTATGACTCAGTTATAATGACTTTTCCTTCTGGTAAAGACTGTTTGGTTTATGGATTGTTTACTTATTTCTAACTTACAACATTTATCTTGCTAACTAAGGAAAGTAAAACACCTGGTCATCATGAGCAGCTCAAGGACCAAAGACAAATTAACTATTATATTTTTTCTTTATTAGAGTCATCCTATTGGAAAATAAAAATAATATGCTTTCATTTTTTAAAATTTTTAAACAAATTTGATAAACGTAAAATAGGAGAATGTGTGAGATGATGGGTTTTGCTACTACCACTCAGATGACTAGCTGAAAGAGCCCAACCGTGTGATAAATGATCATTCACATCTGCCTATACTGTTGTGAGGAAACCAATTCAAAACAGCTGTCCAGTCAGCTTCCCAGCACCTTGGGGGGTGTTTAGAATTGTGTTTGATAGATGAGTTCAATAAATACAGACTGGTATGCTGCTCATAAATCATAACAAACCAATAGATTTTTAGTGAATGGTCCTACAAGAAAGAATTATATCTTCTTTTAAAAAGGACGGAAGCATTGAGAATACTTGGAATTAGCGAAGGGGATGCAACTGAATGTCTACTTTATTAGAGAGTCAAAAAAAAAGTCTCCTTTTGAGGATGGGAAATAAACACAAATTTCAGCTGCTAAACTGCATTCTTATTTAATTTCTTCCATTACTGGTTTACAAATTATTATTTTAACAAGTTTTGCCAAGTTATTGTCTTTTTAACTAATAACCTTTTCCTCCCCCTTGGTTCTGCTTATTTGATAAAACATGTCAATGGTAATTCATTTTGTTAGCATAAAACCACTGTGAAATTATTCTGTTTCACAGAAGGTGTCTGAAGACCTTTAACCATCAAGGGTCATGGAGTGTTTTCCCTCTACAAATTGCATTTTTGTCATATTCTCCCTGTCTTGGGAATATAGTAGCTCATGCTGACCTTTGAGTAGAAAGATTGATTATATGAGGACACAATGACTACAATAAAAACAGTTTGAAGCAAACTGAATAAAACAATGTGAAAGTGCTTTTCTCCAGAAAAGAAATACTGTCCAGAGCATAACATACAATACTAACAAGGACATGCTGGAGATGTCAGTTTTCATTTTCAGTTATACTTTAT